CTCCTCCCAGTTTTGTGTCACCAGCAAACTTGCTGATGGTACACTCTATCCCTTCATCCAGGTCATTGATGAATATATTGAACAGGACTGGACCCAGTACTGACCCCTGAGGGGACACCACTCGTTACTGACCTCCAACAAGACTCTGCACCACTAACCACAACCCTCCGAGCTCTATCTGTCAGCCGCTGTTCAATCCACCTCACTGTCCATTCATCTAACCCACGCTTCCTAAGCTTGCCTGTGAGGATGATGTGGGAGACGGTGTCAAAAGCCTTGCTGAAGTCAAGGTAGACGTCTACTGCCCTCCCCTCATCCACCCATCCAGTCACCATCATAGAAGGCTGTCAGGTTAGTCAGACATGACTTCCCCTTGGTGAATCCATGTTGACTACTTCTGATAACCTTCTTTTCTTCCAGATGCTTTGAGATGATGCTCAGAGCGAGCTGTTCCATCATCTTTCCAGGGATGGAGCTGAGGCTGACTGGCCTGTAGTTTCCCAGGTCATCCCTTTTCCCCTTTTTGAAGACACAGCCTAACTTTCGGTTAAGAAAGTATTGCTGTAACTGAATTTTTATTCAAGCTGTACTTCTCCTGATCTAATTAGTCCCTAAAAACTGATGAGAGAAATATTTATGTCTATTAGAATATCTTCAAACTGGCGCTATCAATAGCACACCTGTCTGTCTTAAAAAAAAATAATTACATTTAAACTAATACTAACTCTCTGAAAAGATACCGAAAAATCTGAGAATGTTTCATCAGTAAGTCTTAAGTGAAAATAATTATGTACCTGAAGCAGTGTAGTAGTATGTGACAGTATGTACCCTGACTGAGAACATTTCTTCTATGATATGTTACTGAACTGGAAAGCATGGTTCTCAAGGTTTTCTAAATCTAATCATCACAGAATGAAATAACTTTCCATATCACTATAAAAATAAGTTGGTAGTACTTTGTGAAAGGTCTCTGTCTAAACAGCATTACAGATACAAGTTGTGTTAAAGTCATGTATATACTAAAAATGTTACGTTGTTATAATGAGGAGAAAATGTTCTGAACTTTATCAACAACCTCCAGGCAAGTTCATTGCGTTTATCAGTTCCCAAAAAACTGCCCAGTTGCACACAAAAAATATTATCAAGTCTCAACGATCACTACTCATTTGTATGGTGCATTAAGGCTGTGATCCAGGTGAGTCACTAAGCACCAGCTAGAAGTAGAAGTAACCCATTAAAATATGAAGCAATGCCAGTAACCTAATCTCTCTTCTCTCATTCATGTTCAGTGCATGTTATCTTTTTTGTTTTCTTTAAAGTAAGAGCTCAGAAGTGTTTTTGAAGACAAAAAAAAGAGATGTTTTGATAAGTCAGGCTTCCTTCAGGAAGAATTCTATGGCCACAAATTACAGCTGTAAGAATGGAGTAAGAAACTTGCTCAAATGCCAAGATAAACCAATGCTCCTAGATCTCTAAGCAACATGCAAAAAAGCACTTTAGAACATAAACTCCTGAAAGAGTCTTTTTTTTTTTTTTTTCCCAAACTATTTGCAATCTTTGACTTTTGGGATTTTAATATGAATCAACTCTTATAATAGGGTGCTCATCTGCTAAAAGAAGGATAAGCTGTCCATGGAAAACTGTTATAGCTGATGACATCTACTTAAAGAAATTTTTCTTGCCTTTTATTGGAACCAGGGAAGTCACAGATTGAACATTTGTTTGGCATAGCATTCAGCTAGTATTTATTTATCTATTTATTTAAAGCACTAAGGATTAGCATTTGCATCTGGAAAACTTAAAGAGTTTGTACATAACAGGTAAATGCACAGCTTTTTCTACAAAATATGACCTTTTCCTACAAAACCACTCTAAACATGTCTCCATGTTTCACTTTGATGTTTCTGGCCTTAAATGTTGTTCCATATGGCACAGTGAAAATAACAACAAAAAACACTGGGAAATGGAACGTTATTTGAATTTTCAATTCATCTGAGCACCAATGCCATGCAAGAAGATAATACCCCGTATACTGACATTTGTTTAGGATGCAGAAAAGAAAGCTTAACTGGTAGGGCAAAGACATGCCTAGAAAATAACACAAAATGGACCAACAGCAATGCTCAGTCTTCAAGAACTTAACACAGGATGGGATAATAGGCAGAAACTGCAGAGCTATAAATATTAAGATACAAAGTCTGCAGGAGACAGAGAGGTGGCCATACCAGCAACAGATTAAAAAACCTAAACTTGCTCCTGCCATTTGACTCTAATGTCATCCCAAGTAGAATACACTGAGGTATTATTACACAGTGACTACAGGTTTTAGACATATCCAATAACTCCCCTGTGGAGCCGCTGATGGTCAGGGAGTCATTGTGTGACTTGGTCCTAAGTATACAAACTCACAAGGAGTAGATGAGGCAGGAAGAGACCTCTGGATATCATTTAGTTCAAACCCACTGTCCCAGCAGTGTCCCCTTGAGATGGTTACCCAGGACTGTGTCCCGTCAGGTTCTGAGCAACTCCAAGGACGGAAACTCCACAATCTTTCTGGGCACCTGTGCCACTGTTCCATCACCCTCACAGTGAAGAAGGTTCGTCTTGTATTTCAATTTGCACCTTGTGTTCTACCACTCGATAGCACTGGCAAGATTCTGGATTGATCTTTAGACTGCTCCCTTCCTGCCCTCCCTCCCCCCCATTTTTATACACCTTGTCAAAATCCCCAGGAGCCTTCTCTTCTCCTGAACAGTCCCAGCTCTCTCAGTTTCTACTCATATGCCATATACTTCAATCCCTTAATCATCTTGGTCACCCTTTGCTGGATTCATTGTCTGTCCTTGTCCCTCGTGTACTGGGGAGCCCAGAATTGGACCCAGCACTTGAGGTGTGGCCTCACCAGTGCTGAGTACTGGGCAAGGATCACCACCCTCATCCTGCAGCACTCTTTCTAATGCAGCCCAGGAGGCTGCTGGCCTTCTTTGCTGAGACATACAAAAAGACTGTTTTTCGTTAAGAGCAGACAAATCTGCAGAAAAGAAATCCATTGAGGATTATTAAACACAATAAGCTACAGTATCATAAGATGTCCCTGAGCTATAAAACTGGAAGCTCAACAAGTTGGAAGTTGGATGATGTATCACTGTGTGCTTCCTCTATCCCTATGCTTAAGGCATCACTTTTTGACTAGTGTTGAAGCTATTAGATGAGATGGAACATTGGTCTGATGCAGGGCTATTTTTAGGCATTACAAAATGCTACATGAATTGTACAGTGTATATCTTACACCCACTGCAGTCATTTGCCAAGTTTCTGAATTAATTTGATTATGAAAGATACAAGATTATGAAAGATAACTATATTTAAATAAACAACACCGTTAAAGATTAATTACAAGTTCAGAACTTGTTTCAACTAAGCAGTAAGAAAAGCATCTGAAGAAAAATACAATGAAGATTTTACCTCATATCCCAATCAAATGAACTCCCAAACTCAGAATGGCACTTAAAAGTCAAATGTTTCTTCATGTACAAAGACCTTTCAGTTTTTCAGCATTCTCCCAGAAAGTGCAAGACAGACATGTTGGAGCCCCCAGACATATCCACAAGGACAACAGTATTAAAGACACTCACTTCTTCAAACCCGCCATATAATCAAAGAACAGAGATCACAATTAAGGGGCAAATATTTTATTGCTCTCCAGAAATTTTCGTATCATGCATACCACTGATTGACCTTTCCAGCTACCTGATACATTCATGAATTTGTGAAGTCTGTTGCAGTTTAAGAACTTCCTACTTTTTCTCAGTTGAGATGTATTTGATTACATAGTCCTAGGATTATCACCTCAATATTTTGTATTTCCCCCTCTCTTTTGACAAACAAGTCCTCATATAATTTCAAGCACATTTTTACACAAAAAATGCTCCAAAGAATCTGTACTATTCCTATAGGGCACAACTGATGCTCCTAAAAACCATTCATTCACATCAGGGTGTATTTCATAAATGGTGGCACTACATAATGGAACTTATGAAACAACACCATATGACCATACTAATCAACAGACAGCACATTGAATAAATGAAGTGATCTTCATTATTAACAGATGGTAAGTTCTAGCAGTTGCTATTTTATAGGTTGTAAAGGATCAGGATAGTTAACAAAAATGTTCAAACATCAGTTGTTCCCTCCTAAGAAAATACCACGGGATGCAAGTCTGCAAGAATCCTTTTTTTAAAATCTGAATTTACATATAGTCTAGTCATCAAATTTAATCTTTTTTCCTTGGAATGCTGCAATTTGAGACATTTGTTCCCGGCGTCTCTTGCTTGCTTCCCATGATGGATGAAGAGGCTGCTCCAAACGTGCTTTCTTATTGTCACATTTAATACCTGCAGCTTTTGCAAATGGTTGCTTCTTGAGCTGTGGTTCCTTTTTAAGAAGAGCTGGGCAAGAAGTACAAAATAAAACATTAATTACATCATGAACCTTCATAAAAATATGCTGAAGCTACCTTGGGATTGCAGGTATTTTCAAGAATTTCTTAATGAGCCAGGGGGAACACATTAATCTGAATCATCACAGCAAGATTTCCTCATCTTGCAGCCCAGTAAATTGTTACTTGGTAGACTCACGATAGTTAAGATTTATTGTTACTGACCACATTCAAAATCTGTGTAGACAAATATTCAGCACAGTCTCAACTTTTTTCTTCACAATAAACCAATGAGATATTAGACAGTGTAACTCAATATGACTGAAATGATATCCTTGAGCCAATGAATTCCAAAATGGAACCATATACTATGAATAGAATAAAATATTGAAGGAGCTAATGAAGGAATTACTCATGAGTTAAACTACTTGTTAAATATGATAATCTGACACCTTTACCTGTGCACAGGTAATACTAACTGCTCAACAGGAACATAGATGGAAAAGCACTTTCCAGTGTATATCCCACTTCAAGTATTTCTAATATTCAAAAATAGGAAATAGCAAACAGTATCCACAGATTAAAATGAAAGCTTAACCCTTTGACCATTTTAAAAACAAGTGTTACAATATGTGACACAAAATTGAAATGAAACAAAAACCAGCCTGTCATGATTAGACTGCAGAAGTAACAAAATCTCAAGAAGTTTTTACTCTTATAACTTTACTTTAAGTAATACGTACCTGTTCTTCCATTTTTGAAAGGTTGCTCTTTAGCATTTCTGAAAATAAAAGAGAATTTAGGATTTTTAAAGAAACTTGTAAGATGAAAAACACCTGTGAATAATGAATTGTCATCACCAAAACACTCGTGCAATGACTTTTCAAGCATAATGTGCAAAAACCTCATAAATTGTTTCCTCTTTATTAATAAAAAAGTAAAAATAGAAGTGTTCAGTAGTGATTTAATTTGGATACAGGTCTAGTTGAGAATCTTGTGTATATGTCAGTACTAATGTGAATATGAAAATTACATAAGTGTCAAGAAAGCACAAGAAAAGTGCAGAGTACTTTATGTGAAAATGTTCTAAGCTATAATTGACTCAAATTCTTATTTGGTAAGGCCTACTAAAAATCACAACAATTTCCACTATTGGGAAGGGAGGAAGGAATGGAGAACATACCTTTTTCTGTGTTGAGATTTCTGATTAGAGGTAGACAAGGAACTGCAGAACACTGATTCTAGCCTGCTTGCTTTTGCATGTGGCTTTCCTTCTTCTGTGATCAAATCTTGCGCTTTCCCAGGCACTGTGTTCTTTTCTTTCTTCACTATGTTTTTCTGAAGTCTATCCTCTTCTATTGCTAAAGAAAGACCAGTAACTGCTGCTACATTTTTCTTTCTTTTTACTTTGCCAATGAAGAAATCATCATTGCTGTCACTGTCAGAATCTGATGACTGGTTATAAAACCTCTCTTCAGTACTATCATCAAAGTACTCCTCTTCATTAGGATGTTCCTGGTCACTATCATCATTAATTTTTTTTTTAATGGCATTCAATTTGTTCATGCTCATATTTTCTTTCTTTTTTTGGTAGCCAAGTTTCCTTCCTGTTTTATTCTGAGTGACTGCTTGCATTTCTACTGCCTGAAATGAAGATTCTTCTGGAGCATAGGGTCTCTCCATTTCCACAGTTTTCTGCTTAACTTCATTCTCACAAAGTTCTTCAGCCACCCTGTCAGTTTCTATTTTCATACTCATTTTTGTTTTGTGTTCACTTCCTTGCTGTTTTTGAGCTGGTTTAAGAGCTTGGTCATCCAAATTGCTATCAAAACGTTGCGCTGATTTAGGCTGTTCTTCTGACTTTGCCTTTTTCGAAGGAGTGTTTTTGGCTGGGTTCTTTCTTGCATCCTTAAAAGCTTTTACAGCAGCTATATAAGGGGAAGAAGAAAGATCTTTTGTTGCAGTTATACATGAGTTTACATAAGTTATTTTAACATAATACAATGTTTTTGCAAGTTAAATATGTTGTATTGAGTAAGCATATTTTGAATGTCTTAATCAACTACTGAACGCATGGGGCAAGAAATACCTTAGAATACAGCATCAACAAAGGTGAGGAAAAGAACTTGACGTTACCACCTGGATATACTGTTAAACTCGGGTTTAACTGTGAACTTCTCTTCAGCAAATAATCTGCAGCTGATAATTCTGTTCACTTAGGGCATTACTTTGTGTGTAAAAACTGCAAACGAACAGTAAATTGCTCAGATGCAATTAACCGGGTATTTGACATGCTCTGTTATTAACAAAGTAATTTTGTGACATTATTACTAGGACTTGACCCTTTTTAACATCAACTTTAGTTGGAAAATTTGAGTTCAAAGAGAACAGGAGATAACCTAAAGAGCCAGGAAAGATTCCCCAAGGATTCTGGGGACAGTTACCAGAGAAGTTTAAGGGAGTCATTTGCAAAACCTTTCAGCTGCCTTTGGAAACCCAGTTGTAATGCTCCTTTTACCTTTGTATCTGCAAGTTATTGTGCTCATTGCCAGTTCAGTCCTACTTAATTTAGAGATAATCTATTACATCCATTTGATTTTTAGAGTTCCCATTATGAGCCCTGTTTGTCCCACAGCCTATATCTCAAATGTTGTATAACATACTGTCCCATAAAAGCCCATTTGAAGCAATATAATGGACTGCAAGCTTGTCACACTTGATTCACTGCAACTGTACCCCATGCACCAGTACAGGTTGGGGGCTGACCTGCTGGAGAGCAGCTCTGTGGAAAGGGACCTGGGAGTCCTGGTGCACAACAGGATGACCATGAGCCAGCAATGTGCCCTGGTGGCCAAGAAGGCCAATGGCATCCTGGGGTGCATCAGGAAGAGTGTGGCCAGCAGGTCGAGGGAGGTCATCCTCCCCCTCTCCTCTGCCCTGGTGAGGCCACATCTGGAGTACTGTGTCCAGTTCTGGGCTCCCCAGTTCAAGAAGGACAGGGAACTGCTGGAGAGGGTCCAGCAAAGGGCAACGAAGATGATTAGGGGATTGGAACATCTCTCCTATGGAGAAAGGCTGAGGGACTTGGGTCTCTTTAGTCTACAGAAAAGAAGATTGAGGGGGGATCTTATTAATACTTACAAATACTTAAAGGGAGGATGCCAGGGGGATGGGAGCAGTCTTTTTTCAGTGGCGCCCAGTGATAGGACGAGGGGTAATGGGCATAAACTTGAACATAGGAAGTTCCATCTTAACATGAGAAGGAACTTCTTTACTTTGAGGGTAGTGGAGCACTGGAACAGGCTGCCCAGAGAGGTGGTGGAGTCTCCCACTCTGGAGACATTCAAAACCCGCCTGGACGCTGTCCTGTGCAACCTGTTGTAGGTGACCCTGCTCTGGCAGGGGGGTTGGACTAGATGATCTCCAGAGGTCCCTTCCAACCCTAACCATTCTGTGATTTTGTGATTCTGTGATTCTGTAATTACAAGAGCTTTTGATTTTTTAACTTTTCTTTTTGTAATGGTTGTTTGTGTCAGAAACATACAGGAACAATATAACACACCAGTAAGCTACTGAAGTCATTAACAAGTTAATGTAGTATTTCATACCTTTAAGTTCAAGAAATCTCGGCTTCAAGATGGGGTGTGTTGCAAGTCTTGCAATGGCTCGCTCAGTTGCAGTACAATTTGGCTATACAAAATAAATTCAAAGGCATGAAGTCAATAGAACACTGAATACTTATACAGGCCTGTATCAGTTATGCTACAATGCACACTAATGTGATTCTCAACTATTAATTGCACAAGAGGAAAAGCTTATGACACTATAATATTTGAATATTTCTTATTTTTTCCTGTATTACTGTGATTCTAAAGGAGGAAAAATCTGCCAGCCCAAACATTGACACAAATGTAATAGACACTTAAGTCCGCTATTTCTCAGGTACTGAATAGGGTTAACATGATTTTTGTTTTAAAAGCATACCAGACACACCTTTCAGAGCTAACACTGTGATTTTACATTGGCTATTTCTTCTGCATGCAAAGCAAATGCATGAACACCCTGAATAAAGAACATCATATTGGTAGAAAGCATTCTGCATGAAAGAATACAGCAGCTTGCAGGAAGTATGGATGCCATGAAAGTACGCAAAATGACATGGCAGGTATTGAACCACATTAAATGTGGTTAAGAGGCAAGGTCTAGCCTGATCTTAAAGACAAGCAGCCTTGAATTTGATGTGGTAGAATACTGGAACTCTGTAGACTGATTCAAAGAACAAATATGATCTTCATGCTTTAATTTGAAGAAAAAGGAGAAAAGTAGGAATTGCTTCCATTTCTGTCTTCCTCTTTCATACATTAGAAGTCACAGATACAACACATTGTAAAAGCGATCTCATTTTCAGGTGCTCGTCACCACTCTGCTTGAGGAACAAAATGAGAGGAATCTAAGCCTCTTCCAAAGACAGCTTTATCTTCTTTTTTCTTTTTGACAGGAGGGAAAGGGGGTGTAACAGGCTTGTAAAACACAAATTTAGCAAGAATATTTCTTAAAGCTTGCGGTCGAATTCTCTGGGAGAGACAAGAAAAGACATACCTTCCTCCCAGTGGTCCTGGAATGTTTAAATTGTTGCTACCTGAGATTTGAGCTACATGCTACAGGAAGTACTACAGCATAAGCCACCCAAACCAACAGATGATGAGCCTCATAATGAACCCGGCAAGTGCCCCGTGATCCAACTTGAGCTGGTTTTGGTGCCCAACAACTCAGTACAACATGCTGCCTCTCCTGTCCTGAGTGACCACCGCAACAGATGGAGCCCAAGTCACAGGTATGTAAATGGTAGGGAATAAGGGGTGGAGATTGTACTGGCTCTGCCTTAGGATGGAGTTAACTTTCTCCATAGCAGCCAAGATGGTGCTGGGCTTCGGATTTGTGACTAAAACATTTTCGAGTTGGTAACACACCAATGCTTGGACAGCATCAAGGCCTTCTCTGTTTCTTAGTCCGCTTTCCCAACAAGCAGGCAGGGTGTGGACAAGAGGCTGGGAAGAAAATACACCTGGGACAGCTGATCCAAATTGACCAAAAGGATATTCCATTCCATACCCAGTCATGCTCAGCAATAAAAGCTCAAGTAAAGGAAAAGGAAGGGGTAGATGTTTGTGGTTATGGCATTTGTCTTCCCAAGTAACTGTTATGTGAAATGAAGCCCTGCTTTCTGGGATGTGGCTAAATACCTGCCTGTTGATGGGAAGCAGTGAATAAATTCCATATTCTCCTTTGCCTACACACACAGCTTTCCTTCACTTATCGAACTACCTTTATCTCAAGCCACGAGTTTTTCTCGCTTTTGCTGTTCTGATGCTATCCCCATACTGTGGGGGTGGGGTGAGCAAGCAGCTGCTGGGTGCTTAGTTGCTGGCTGGGGTCAAACCACGACACAAACACTACCTAATACATCACCAATGCATTGTTAAAATATCTGATTTGCTTGACATAAGAGTGCTTAGTGGGGAATCTTGTTTGTATGTACATTTTCTTCCAGCAGAATTATGCCACTTAGTATAAACAGTTATGTATTCATTCCATACAGACGGACACGTCATGCCAACAACTAGGTGCAGGAGAGTTACTTTCAGTGTTTTGGTCTGAAGGAAACAGAGCAGAATACTACAGCAAAGCCAGTACCTCTAAATGCAGAAATATTCAATTGGTTTGCAAAATGTAAATCTTGTTCCTCAACCAATGCAAAGCAAATCCCATTTGCTGTAGTTCTAGAGCTTACAAAATATACTCTGGGTATGTCTGCTCATATTTCATGTTTGAAGTGCACAGCATCTGGGAATTCTAGTAGTTTCCTTTCTCCTCAAGTCTCTGCTATTACAACGTTATTTCTTCAGGTCAAGAAAAACTGGAAAAATGTTTTCTCTGTAGACTGTCTACAGAACTATGAACACTAGCCAGAGGAGACGGGTCAAAAGATGGGTCCATTTCCAACGGCCACAGACTGGCTTACTTTCAGACTAGCCTAGCTCTGAGAACTTGAAATCTGAATTTTGATCCCCATGTGACAGTGCTGCACGCTGCCACCAGATTCCTGGGACAGCAAGCTCACATTTCTGAAGATCAAATGCTATTTTCTTTGGAGATTTTTCTATAGCTGGAAAATCTATTTCTGAACTTAATTAATACACTTTTTCCCTCAGCTACTTCCTGTGGGTTTTGAAAGAATATACCATGAAGTTCAGAAAGCAGCAGCAGCTTCTGTGCAACATCTGGTGTCCTTTAATTCAAATATTTATAGAACGGGTTTAGGCATATACATGCCAATGCATATGGAATAACCACGTTTTTTTCCTTATAGCAAAATACTTCACAAACACTGCTCACACTGATAGATAGTAGCCAACAAACATAGAATATGACATTCACATTCTTTAAAATTTCTCATTTTTCTGTTTTTTTGGCACTTCCAATGCTCAATTTATTTTTCCTCAAGTATTTTCCAGTATATAAAACCTTGGCAGGAAATAAAACTTACCAGAAAAACGTCAACTGTATTTACAGCAAGAACACCCTTTCCCCCTCCTCCTGTCCGCAGTATGTTTAATTATGCAGATCCTGGAATTGTACACACTTATTCTCACATGTTCCTGCTACCTTTTGTATTATTTTGCACTATTCATTTTTTCATGCAAGAATGTCCTAGTGCTTTCCATAGGAACACTCTCCCTCCTTCAGGGTGCAATTGAGGTGCTGCAAAACGCGCAATGCAACTGAGCACTGCATAGTTATACTTTTCAGTGAGAAGTTGTAAGCTATGTACACAACCAACTGAATGTCAGAGTCTTCTCAAACTTTTCATCTTGGTAAGTGATGCATTATTTCCGTATATACTATTAAAGACATCTCTCTATCATCATTGACATGTTCCATTAAATTTTATGTGGACATTTAACTGGATTAACTGCACTGATCTCTATGTTTTCAGATCTCTTAAAATAAAAAGAAAACCAAACTGCATAAACAAGCATTCTTCATCCTGAATGGTAGATGTACACACAGATGCACAAACCTCAAAACCTAACTTGTCAGTTATAGCATAATAAAGCAGCAGTTGTATAACTTACACATGTGCAAGCCACATGTGTATGCCCCACATAAGGGAGATAAACTTTGTACAATGTGGCAATGATTGGGAAGAGAATGGACATTACAAGCTTGCTAAGACAAAAACAAATTCACAAGGCAAGTTTTGAGATATGCTGGTATACGGGTCAGAAGAAGTACGCAGCATGTCTGAGAGCTGGCAGAACTGGGTAAAAAAAACATCAGGCAGAAGTTGGGTGGGTAGTACCTGCTTCATACAATGCAGATGATAAAGTAGAGAACGAGAAAGTGAGAGTCTCACGGCCTTGGGGAATCTGGGATTGCAGGAGTTGAAAGGGGTACCTCGTTAGCCTGCTTGAGACAGTAGACCTTCAGGAATAATAAAGGGCAGAAATCTGGGGTTAATTTGGGAACACGAAATGGAGACTTCTGACCATCACTTCATGCTGATCACTCTTCCTGTTGAAGTCTACTTCTGTTTGTACCCTCTCTGCTATAATTATAATCATTAATAGGAAAGAAAGAGATCATACTTCTATTCTTCAGTTGACTTTTGTACAAAAGGGGATTGATCGCCTTGTTAAAGGTCTTACCAGAAACAAGGCTGCTACTAGAAGAGTATACTACTACAAAGACTACTACTAAAATTTCAACTGGGTCAAAGGACAGTGCTACCAAACTGGGAATGCTTGGCGTCCCTGCATCTGTCACTTTAGATCATCTCTCAGTTATTTAAAATAATGGCATTCAAATGGAGACAATCAGAAACCCCACTGACAAGTATGCAGTACACGGCAAAAGCCACGACACAAAAAAGTAACCTTGAAGCATGTCATACTCAAGTTTCTAAACTAACTGGAAGTGCATTTTAATGTTGAGTGTAACAGTAGCCTGATTTTAAGCAAAAAAAAAAAAAAAAAAAAAGGCAGGGATAATGCTAACCAGGGGAAGCATAAAAAAAAAAAAAAAAAAAAAAAAAGGCAGAGATAATGCTAACCAGGGTAAGCATAAAAAAAAAAATAATACAAAAATCCCCAGTTCTGGGCCAAAGCAAGATGTCATTGCAACACCCTTTATAGCAGCTTAGAAGAGCTGTCTCTCTACAAAAAAAGAAAAAAACCCAGAAAACCTATTAATCCACACGTTCTTCCCAGAGCTCTAACTAGTTACAGCTGTCCTTCATAATACCAGATGTAGTTAATGTGGAGTCGCAGCGTGGCTGAAGGTGCCAGATCATGGCTGCTACCCAAGTCCATCCCATGACTTCATACTGCTTTGGAATAAGACCCTTGAGAAAAGTTACTTTCTGACTGTGAAATGCTGCTAGTTCTCCCCGTTCCTTTATGTCTGTAAGACATATAGTATGTGATTTGTGGCCATCAGTATGAGAAGCAATTGGTTACTGGTATCACTTGGGGCAGCACTGTTGTCTCTCAGCTCCTGACAGCAAGCGATTGTTTGTTCACTGTGATGCATTGACCCTGGCTGGACACGAGGGGCACACCAAAGCCACTCTATCATTCCCCCTTCTCAGCTGGATACAGCTAAGTTTCCTCTGCTGCTCCTTCCTCCTT